TTAGGGGTGTTCACAGTTCGGTTAACTGAACCATGACACTTTTTTGTAAACCGAACCGGTGGTACCAATTTTTCCAATTCTCAAACCGAAATTGAACCAGTACCATCGGTTAACCGGTGGACATTTCTTAAATTTTGAATGGGCTTTAATGCAAATCTGGACTTAATAGGAATACGATTTCTTTAAATCAAGCAACCTGATTTGTATCCGGCAGAACCACATTATTCATCCAAAAATGAATCTTTGTGCTAAAACTAATATTTCATTAATTCTTGTAATGTGCTTCTACAATTTAAAATTTGCATGCTAACCTTGTTATATGAATGATGAATCTTACTCAAATGTTATTTTCTTGACTAATAGTTAAGATGGTCGATCGGCATTTCTCTAAAATATGAGATTAGGATGCTACCCTTGTTATATGAATCTTTGTGCTAAAACTAAGAATTTTAATTTTTTGTAATGTGTTTCTACAATTTCGAATTCGGATCCCCACAAAACCATTCTCATGCCGTCATCACTAGAGATGTTAATGGTATTTGAAAGTTCAATTTTGAATTCAAGATTTGACATAATCAAATCAAATTCAAATAATTTGAATATTATAATCGGTCAAATTCGTATATCCTATTCATATCAGTTAGTTAAATCGGAGATTATTTAATTCATATATATAATATATAAAATATTTAAATGTTTTATACAATTTATATACATAATTAAATTATATAAATAATTTATATCTTTATATACTTTATATAAATAAAATATTTATTTAATTATCTAAAAGAATTAATTGGTCGAATTCAAATTAAATTGAATATTTGAATATTTAATCGAATTCAAATTCAAATATTCATTTTTAATATCTGTCGGATATTGAAGCGATCCGTTTACACCCTTAGTCATCACAGCCCCTTGATGTTGTGCATTAGGAATATCTCCCCATGAATAAAAACATAAAGTACAGAGATGTTCTCAATGCAATGAGCTGTGAGGATGGTGTGAAGACGGTTTTGTAAAGACTGAATCCAAATTCTAGAATTTCAGGCTCTTTGTGATATGGCCAGGCCTCTGTCCTCACCCTGATTCCCCTGAATAATTCCAAAAATAAAAAATAAATGTAATTCTCTTCAAATTTGGTTTTAACTTGAGTAGATCGACTGCTTAATAAGGTGTATATGCTGGGTGAACAGGTTGGGCTGACCTGATGGTGTCTAAGCCCGGCCCATTGTAGATCAGCCTCAGGCTTTACAAATTAGTATGAGCAGACTCTACCAAGGCATATCAGGGATGTCAACGGACTGGTTTTTGATTAGACCCCGTTTGAATCAAAATCAATTTGAATGGATTGGATGGATTAATAAGACATGTTGAACTGTACCAATTCAGATTTAATAGTTTAAACTCTAAAGTATTTATTAGATTGAATTGGACCTGATCCATTTGTAATAGATTTATATTGGATTTAGCCAGATTGAACCAATATCCAATCCATTGGCATAAGATAAGTGTATAGATGTCATTGGACCAAATTTGGGTTGGGCCTAATCTAAATTGAAATCAATATGAACTGTTTGGACTGTCCAGACTGAATTGAATCGGTCCAGAATGGTCCAAAGTATTAAACGGATTGGATAGGACTGGCCCATATGTAATGGACTCATATTGGATCAGATCGATTGGACCAATATCCAGTCCATTGACAACCCTATTGTGATATTGGGCCAAAGAGTAATTTAAAAGCAAAGTTTAAAAAATAAAAAATAAAAGGAAAAAAAATATGGTGATTCCTTACGGGAAAATATTTGGCTCCTACTTGGTTAGAGAACATGCATCCAACAAAAGGCATTTTATAAGTTAATTTCAAGAATTAGGGGTTTAGGGCTTTAGGATTTAAGGCTGTGTTTGGTTTGTATAGGTTTTCCTACCTTTTCCTTCAAACCAAACACAGCCTAAGTTTAAGGCTTTAGGATTTGAGGTTAGTTTTAGGATTTAGGGTTTAAATTTAAAAATACGTGATGGTGGGATGCTTTCATCCAACCATGGTAGGAACCAATTATTTGTAAAATAACAAATATTTGTAAAATAACATGTTAGGGGTTGATCTGAACCAGTACTGTGAATGAATCACTAGTATGACAATCCACGCCAATGATGGGTTGAAAATACTGTCTCAAACCAACCGAGTGGTGGCTCAATTGGTACATTAACCAGGTAGTCCCAGTGGATATGTGGAATCAATTTCCACTATTACCACCTACAGTAAGAGGTGGTAGTGTGGGGTTGGATGATTGTTGGCCTCATGTATTTTATAACTAGTGTGGGGCCTTATCATTGGTTCCACAGCCCACTGAACATTTATTGAGTTCAATTAACCTAAACTCATCTCTGATCCAAATCTAAGCTTATAGGCTTTTCAGACCAAGATACTCATTCCCACAAAAGCTATTCTAGGATTCCTTTAACCTTCTATTTCTTGCTTATTTCCTACTACCAAACTCACCCTGCCCCAATTTAATGAAATAGAATTACTGAAGCCACACTAACCCCTGTTCACAGTGAAGGATATATTTCATTAAATTTCATCAACATAAATCTCAAGTTTCATATAGAGAAAAACATATTTTCAAGTATTCATCTACAAGAGAGTGAGTGAAAGAAGGAAATCAAGTTATATTGATCATCATCATCATCATCAAAATCAAAGCTTTGTCCTAGTTATATAGGGTCGGCTACATTTAAGTCTTGTTGGCCATTCTATCCTGTTCAATACCATATTCATCATTAAATTATATTATCGACACTTAAATCATTCTTATTATTTCTACCCATATATTACATTCATGAAACCTAAAATAAAGGTTCACACGACATAACCAATCAGAGCTCACAAAAAGATTACAAGACTACATCTCAATGACCAACCCCAACATGGGCCTAATGCCATGTTAGGCTCATTTAATTAACTTGAACATGACCCTACACCCAATTAAAGGGCACCGAATCCTCTACTGGCCCAATGATATCATGTCAATTCATTTAACTTAAAGACGGTATTTGTTAAAATTCCTTCCGATATAATATTTTTTTGGAATTACCGCCCAAAATCTCTTCTGACATCATTGAATCAGTAGATGATGAATCTGATCAAGGTGAGTTTACCATTTAACTAAATCCATTGAAATTCTTAAGTTCCTAATTATCGCTACATCCCAACAAATGCAGAATGGTGTGATTAACAACAATCAAGATATTGATTATCTTAGTGTTTGGTGTGCAAGAAGGGAAGGGATAAAAAGAAATATTCTCGCGTGTTCTTTTTCCCATTTGATTTGTGATATGCTATGAGACGGGATAGAAAATATTTAGAAACTTTTGGGAAGTAGGGTTACACCATTTTTGTGTGAAAAAGTGGAATGAGGAAAAAACCCGTCTAATACAAACTATCTCCATAGAAAAATAAAATAAAAAAGAAAACTTTTTCCTTAGGCAGAGTTTGGGAGTTCTTATTTGAAAAATAAGTATTTATTCTAACAAGTGTTTATGAGCATTTAATGAAAAATCACTTATTTCGAACAGGGGCAGTAGAGGTATTTCGAAAGGACATGGTGGGCCAAGACAGGCCAGAAAGAAAATAAGCACTTATTGACATGGTGTTTGGAAGCATGGGTGCTTTTTAGGACTGATTTTCAAGAAAAAATGCCCATGCTTCTAAGACCCATATTTTACAAAAAAAAAAAAAACGCTTCTATCACGTAGGCAGTGAGCAACACTATGTTGTTTGGTAAGGTGATTTTCATCACTGTTTTTCATGTGTGCGCTGACAGATAAGCACCACATAGGATACACATCAATCAACCGTTGGGGGAAACGGTTCACCGGTGCATGAAATGCCAAATTTGACATTTTATGCATCAGTGGGTCCCAATTTTCAAGACATGCCCGATTTTTTAATGATTGGCTGAACCAAACAATGAGATACAAGGACATTTGTTGAAACGCCTATGTAAATCCGACGTAGCACCGTTTTTTCTGAAAAACAGCCACAGTTCCAAACATCCCCTGAATAAGCAAGTAAAAATAAATCCAAATTTTAGGCTTCTCGAATAAGCACTTATTCCAGCCTATTTCCCAAATGTAAATAATCACTTATTTATATTGTTCCAACCCAAAATAAATAAGCCATGATAGGATAAAATGTTCCTGGTTCCCACTTTTTTCCCTTGTGCAATTAAATAATACATGAAATCTTTGAACCCAGTTTTTCTTTCTCATCCCATCAAAATCTTCCTACAACCCAAACAAAACATTAAAAAAAATGTTTGAAAGATATGTTTCAATTATCCCATCAATTTTTTATACTATGAATGAAAAGTTAGTCTCATCCAAATCTATATATTCTTTTTTCTATTGTGTAACTGAAGAGGTAAATCCTTTAACAAGCATTAAAGATAAGAGAAGGTATGCCACATTGCCACCATTATGATAACGGCTGAATTTGCTGAACTGAAAGACTTCTTACTTTGTCTTTTAGTTATTAAAATAATTAAATAATAAATTTTCAAAGAAATAATGATCTATCCAACTTCAGCCATTAAAAAATCCACAAGCTCCTTAACATTTTATTCACCAAAAGATAAAAGAGATAAGCTTATCAATTCAACATTTCAGCTGTTATCAAACGGCAATTTGGCCTGGGTCAGGCCTGGGCTGTAAAAAAATTTAGATAAACTATTGCAAAGAAGAGTACCAGACCCTTAGGCCCATACCCATCCAAGCCCAATATTTTGTTCATTGCGTATTCCGTTTATGTCACGACACGTGGCACGTCAATGTTTAATGTTGCCTGTAGTTGGTCCCACCTTCTCGTATCAGAACATGGTGAAGTGGCTTGTTTTCATTGATAGATGTAGCCGAAGGCTACACCTAACTTCCAATCCGTAACGGATAAAGAGAACCTTCCACTATCCATCTTCAAATCTCTCTCTCCATCTCTCTCATGGCAACTGCTTCTTTAACTCCACTCTCCCCCGTCTTCTCGGCCTCAAACAGTTCAAAATCTCCATCAATTCTTTCATTTTCTTCAGAATTTCATTCCGTCTCGACGAGTTCAACTAAAATTTCTGGAGAATTTAATCAATGTCGAAAACAGATAGCTCGCAGAAGAGAATTCCTCAAAGGAATCGCCTTAGTTCCATTTATTTGGAGGGAGCCTCCCATTTCCGAAGCTCGTGAGGTCGAAGTTGGTTCCTTTCTCCCTCCATCTTCGTCTGATCCTTCCTTCGTTGTCTTTAAGGCAACGTCGAAGGATACTCCCGCTCTTCGTGCAGGTATGGGTCTTTTCTGTCTTGAAGACTAGCATCTGGAGCTGTTTTGACCTAGTTTTCATTGTGGATTCATGGGTTTTTCCTATATTTTAACTGGTTCCAAGAACTGTGGTTTATGTTTTTTTAATGAAGAATTAAGAGTCTAAGTTGAACAATGGTGGTGGATTATTCGCGTTGTTTATGTGAATTACGTTCCTGTGTTCCGACGATTATCAGAAGGATTAAAACTTTGAATGTGGAGTCTAATTTGAATTGAGTAAGATGATAGCTTGTGGGACAATTAGATGGTGCTAATACCAGAATCATGAGATTGCAGGTAGCTCCAACCTTCCTTGCTGAGACAACAGGAACAAAAAGAAATGAATGGTAAAGAAAAGAATGGCTGTGCCAATGGAGAAGTGAACTTGTATATTATAAAAAAAAAAAAAAAAGTGATGGTCAGGGAATATAATGTCAATAATGAATCTGATTCTCTGCATCCAAATTGAAAATTGAAGGGGGGGGGGGGTAGGAGTACAATGCAAAAGGCAATAAACATGGCATGCGCCAAGGTGTCTCGTGAAGTTATTATTTAAGGATCACATCTTTTCTCCCATTGAGCTTCACCCTGGTTGTGTTCAATGCTAGGGAGTCCAGGAAGAGTTGGAATAGCAACAGAGTACATTATAACAAAACAGGATAGAAGCACAGAGTTGGAAAAGAAAATAATGAGGATCATGAAGAATAGTGTGTCTGAGAAAACAAAAGAATAAAGAAATGGACATGAAAGAAGAAAATAATAGAAATTTCTGATCCTAAGAAAGGAAAATGGCAAATTCCTCTCACATGGAAATCAAATCCGATAGGACCAACAGGAACCACATTTGAGCTATCCTTCTGAAATCTCTCTTTCCTTGTAGGAATTGCAAGGGTCCTTGATTCATCATTCTTTTTGGATAACTCGTCAATTTACAAAGGATTTGGTTAAGATCCCTGTCCATTTTACTGAAAAATAATAAATATACAGTCAAATAGGAGCACGAATTTGATCCTTAAAGGAATTCACTGTTGTCAATGGCACAATGGCACTGACAGCAGACCATGCCTGAGATAAAGCACCTTCAATCGGGTGAGCTCTAGGTGCTTACTCACTTTTTCTTTCTTTCTTTTTATTTTTGTATTTTTTATCTGCACATATTATCTGTGAACAGGGCAGTGTTTATCATGGTTTTCACAAGACCTGTAAGGGGACACCTTACTGAATACAATGGTTTTAGAACTTAGAACTATTTAAAAAAATTGAAATAGGTGATACTTAAAGTTACCAATTATTGAAGGGATAATCTTATCTTCCATACTTTTTGTTGGGTGTGGTTCCAGCCCATATGGAGGGGCCCACCCCACCTTCATTTACTCCCTAAAGAAAAGGGAGCCGAATAGTGGGGAGGTGCCTTTCAAGCCCGTTCTTGATGATATTAAGTGCTGGAGTTAAGAATCCCAATCTAGTTCAGATTTGGTGATTCTTCTTCCTTTTCTCTACTTCTCAGTTCAGATTTACAGCAACTTGGTGAGATCTAAACTTAATTGTTTGTGTTGTATCCACCTTGCATTTGGTGATGTTAATGTTGTTCTTGTGAGCCAAGGATTATTTCCTTGATGTTTGTAAGCCTCTAGTTGCAACTAGAGAAGACTATTGTACCCATTAATTTCTGAATTAGTGGAAGACTTTTACGGACCGTAGGTCCCGTGGTTTTTCCCCAAGTTTGGGGTTTTCCACGTAAAAAATTCCGGTGTGCTATTGTGTGGTGATTGTTATCTGTTTTTCTGTCACTTGACTGAATTGTTTACTTGTTATTATTGTTGTTGGCAAACCCATTTTGACACACAAATTTGGGGGAAAGTTTCTTGCTGTCCTGGGATTGGTTTTACATTCATTTCTGCTACTATAGTGTAACTTACCCAACACTTTTAGAACTTGGTATGCCCTCTGCACAAGGAGAATAAGTTTTGAAACTGACAAAAGGTCAATAACAATTGAAGGAATGACTATGTAGAGAAGTCCTGTTTTTAGTGCCATTTAGAATTTGTACAAACTCATTGCAATTAACATGATAGGACCTCAACAAATCCCTTGAGGTTGAACTGGATTTCCTTTGCATTCATTGGTCCTTACTCTTTAGCATGTAGTGGAGCAGCGAACTTTCAAACTGATGAAGTGTGGTCATTACCTTTCACCTTGATACTTCTTAGAAAGTAGGAAAGAAAATATGATAAGAATATATTCTGTGTATTCTCTCCTAAATATGCATGTGCAGTATATAGTGAAGTTTATTATATGGTTAAATTTAACATTCATACTATATCTAACTCTCCAACTTTTATCTAAGCAGTCATGTTTGAATGACCATATACTCCATATATTGCAGGAAATGTGCAGCCTTATGAGTTCATCCTCCCACCCACTTGGAAACAGACACGTGTTGCCAACATACTATCTGGAAATTACTGTCAACCCAAATGTGCAGAACCTTGGGTGGAGGTGAAATTTGAAGATGAAAAGCAGGGAAAAGTTCAGGTTGTCGCCTCTCCATTGATACGCTTGACCAATAAACCAAACGCTACAATTGAAGATATTGGGAGCCCTGAGAAGGTGATTGCTTCACTGGGCCCCTTTGTCACTGGGAACACATATGATCCTGATGAGCTCATTGAAACTTCAGTTGAAAAGCGTGGCGATCAGACGGTAGTGTGCCTCTTTCTCATATTCATCCTTCCATATTATTCTCCTTTTCTTTCCTTTCTTACCTTAGAAAACACCATTTTTAGGTTTTTCTGAATATTTATTTCTTTACTAAGGGCAAGAAAATTTGAGAAGTAGTTAATATTGCATATGTAGATTCCATATGGTTCTCCAGAGCTATAAATCTAAAATGCTGTTACCCAATGTTGGTTCCCTTATGTGGGGTCATGGAAGAGGTGGACTAAATACAGACCTAACCTTTTGGCAATTTTTGCACAAAGTAGCTGCTCACAGACTTGAACCTACATTCTCATACTTATCAACTGAAATTGTTACGGTTCTCCTGAGTCATAACAATCTCCTAATTTGGCTTCCCAAATGATCTTAAGTTCTTAACCACCAAGCTTACCAGTTACCACCATAGTATAAAACTATAAAAGGTAAATTTCTGTGTAGCCGTGTAAGATATTTGATGATTGAAAGCCTAGATGATCTCCTACTTGGGACAGTGAAGTGCGTAATGATCCTTTGTTAGGATGAATTGCATACTGCATGGATGGGTTTGAGATATGTTGAACTTCTGACATAAGTATCCATCAGAATAGGAAAATAAATGTTGTGTTTGGTTTAAAGGAAAAGGTAGGGAAAGGAAGAGAAAGGTAGGGTCCTTCAAACCAAACATAACAGAAAATGTTTCTCTCTTTGTGGACATCATAAAAATCATATGAATTTTAAGTTGTTCTTCAAGAGATAAATAATTAAATTTTCTTTTTATTTTATAAGATCCTTAAGTAAAAGATCAGAAAATGCAGAAAAAAAGTCAATTGCACACAATTCATACTAGAATTATCCTTTAATGGTTATTGTTATTTAATTACAACTCAGATATATCCTAATTTGAAATAATAACGATACCATTAGCAACCTAACTTTTATATGATTAATGAACCATCAAAAAATGCCAAAGGTTAGGACAATATCCCATCCACCCCTCCCAAGACCCCAGATAGCTGGGACCAACATTGGATAATGGCCTTTTTAATGAACCATCAAAGTTTATATTATATTAACTTGTATTTCAGTAAAAATAATACTTTTTTTTTCCTTTTTAAAGATGAGGACTACCATCTGAAAATTTTCTTGATAACATATGGTGTGTCAGCATATATTTTCTCGATAAAGAACCTTCCATGGTGGCTAGAAATTAGTGGGCCTTAACTTCAAACTTCGTTTTAGATCAATCATATAAAGCACTCTTCTAAAAGTAGTCTTTGTCATCAACAACATTCACCACTGACCATGTAGTCTGTATGCTCAGTTGGCATCCGTTCCATTGAGAAAGTGTGGCTGTGTGGGTTCAAAACTGCAGAAAAATCAGGGTCTCCATGTTTTGTATGCCATTAGGCTCCACATGCATCCCTGCTACACTAATCCCACTAACCCGACAACTACAGATCTAGCATATAGCACCTCTCACCTATGAGCAAATTTGCATTGTCTACCCAAAAAAAAAAAAAACGGTCACTGACAACATTCCATTTCTAATAAGCAAAAGCTGTGTAGTTTGAATTGTCATTGTTGTATCACTGAACTGATTTATTTCAATCAATCTGTAGGGGAGCTTATAACAAATAATTGCCTCTCTTTTTACAGAACCCTTTTTTCTCATGGTAGTGACTAGTGACATAGTCTTCTCTGTTGTATGCAGTATTACACTTACGTGCTGGAGACTCCATATGCATTAACAGGTTCACACAACCTTGCTAAGGCCACTGCCAAAGGAAACACAGTCATCTTATTTGTAGCAAGTGCAAATGATAAACAGTGGCAGACATCTCAGCAAACACTCAAGGCCATACTTGATTCCTTCCAAGTGTAATTTTGTAAGAGGAAAGAAAAAGAAAAATTAAATGTTCCATTATTTATTGATGAATATTCAACTTACATGTATATGGCAGCACGAAACCAACTGGATGATTCTCAACCAATCACCAAATTTTTGGAAGGTTTGCTGACAAATGTAAGGTAATATACAGCTTTGAGTTAAGACATATGAGGGATATTCAGAAACTATGTTGCTCTGATTGATTCAAGTATATTGAAGTCTCCGGATAAAGGTCTACAGGTTGTATGGTTTTCACCTACTAGCCTGGGTAGCCCATTGTACATGTTCTTATCAGTCATTAATCCAAATTATTAGATTAATTCACACCAAATTAGCTGAGCCAAAATTCTTAGTTCCTTTTTGGACTCGTGTTCTTTCTATTTGTTGGCTCTTAATTGCCCAAATTAATCTAATCCAAATTATTAGATTAATACAATCCCAACTGTTTCTAAAATCAGAGAATATCATCAAAATATCCTTGGTTTAAATGTTGATTTGATACCAACTGAGTGGTGGCTCGGTTGGCATGTTAGCTGGGTAGTCCAAGAAGAGATGTGGATTCGAATATCGCTATTATCACCTATGTTGAAAAGTTAGTATGTTGTGTTAAGTATAGAAAAAAGTGCTGATTTGTTTTTTGTTTTTTTTTTTAATGCTTTGATACACAAAATAAAGAAAATAATTATAATAAAGGGCTTTTTATAAAAAAAAAAAAAGTTAATGAAGTTTGATGGATTGACAAAATCAGATATGTTTAAAAATAAATTGTAAAAACAGTAAATGGGACAAAACATCAACTTTTTTGGAGCAAATTGTCATACTTAAATTCCACCAAATTCCCGAATCTCGTCTCCCTTCTTTTAACAATACCTACAGTTGGGGGAACACATTATAATCAGTTCCGGTCGTGAATGATTTCTAAGATCTCTCTCTCTCCACCAGTGAACACGGTGACCATCAAACTAGGTATGGTCCTCCCCATGGTTTTCAAAACTGGATCAGATCGGACGGTCGGACTGGAAAAATTGGGAACCGATCAGGTGATTGGTTTTATTTCTCCAAAATCGGATTTTTCCCAAAAAAAAAAACGTTGGTTTTGATCAGCAAACAATTGATTCGGACGATTAACCATTTGAACGATTTTGACCATTTTTTGTCAGAATGAATCAACCGTTTGATTCAAATGGTCAAACCATTCGACCTGAAAACCAGACCCCTGACCGATTCGTTCTCCAGATCGATTTTAAAAACCTTGGTCCTCCCATAAGTATATGTGTGGGTCTTCAATATACGGCAGCTTGAGTGCTGTGAGGATATAGAAGTCAATAGTGTATCATGCCCGGTTTATTGGGACCAAGCTCACATTTTGTCTCATTCGACTACCACTACAATGGGGTCCACGGAAATTTTTTTGGGGGAGTATAGTTACCCAACCAATACTTTTCTGAGGGTGGATAAGTTACTTATCCACCAGTTCACGATCTAGTAGAATCCAATGTCAAAACAAGGTTAAAAATAAAATGGAACATTGATTAGATGGAATGGTTAAATTTATAGAATGATTCAACACAGCCACACAAAACAAGCTTAAAAAAATTTATGCTCCCCCACAAACAAATGTGATTTTATCCACCTCTTTTTCCTTTCCCCTTTGGAAGGAGATTACTCATGGTTTTTAAAATCAGACCGGACCGGAAAACTGGGAACTGTTGATTTGGTCAGAAAACCGCTGACTCGGGTGGTTGGACTGTTCAACCATTCAACAGTTTGGTCAATTTTTTTTTTTCTTAATTTTTTTATTTTATTTGTCAGAACTGGCCTTTTGTTCGATTTGAATGATCGGATCGTTCGACCGGGAACCGGACCCCTAACTGGTTCGTTGTCCGCATTAGTTTTAAAAACCTTGAGATTACTTTCTATTTTTGGATTTTTTTGGGTGTGTGTCAGCACTATATATATTTACATGGCAGAATTTTTCTAAAATGGAATGATGGCTAGATGCAAAGGTTTAATTTATTGAATTTTATTTGAACCACAGTGAACCATAAAAATAGTATAAATCCTAAAATTTATGAATAAAATCGTATCATAAATCATAAGATTTTGATCCGAGAGAAAAACGTAGGCTTGATGCTTGAGGTGAGGTAGGACTGATTGAGCGTGATCACCGAACACATGGCAAGTAATTTGGGCCAGAGTTGTAAAAAAAAAATAACAATAGAAAAGCTTAGGTCCCTTTTGATTCCAAGGAACTTCCAGAATCGGAATGGGAATGGGCTATTCCGATTCCAATTGTTTGGTTCGGTGGAATCAGAATCTCATTTCCATTTCTGATTGAATGGTATTCCCCCATTTGAGGGAATGGTCATTCTTTGCCCTTCCTTTAGGAATGAAATTTCATTTCTGTTAATTCCAATTATTCTTTGCCCTTCCTTTAGGAATGGAATTTCATTTCTGTTAATTCCAATTTTCATTCCCATTCCTGTCTGAACCAAACAGACTAAGACTATGGGAATAGACCATTCCGATTCCAATTCTAAAGGATTTCGATCCCGACTGCAAACCAAATGGGTTCTTAGACTGAATGGTTCAAATTGAGTTCTGATCCTTAAGCTTAGGCCTGAATTCGGAGCTCTCTTACATGACACTTGTTTGGATTTCTCCTGAATTAGATTTGAGGTCTTAATTCCTGAGGACATGGCTATCATTTGGGATCTGGTAGAACATTTCCCATCCATAAGACCATAACTAACAAAACTGTCATGTTGAGGCCACCCCAACCTTTTCTATGTTGCCAGATTCACACACGACATCTTATTTATAGTCCCAATCATGTATCTATTAACTGCCTTTTGTGTTCCGCAGCAGGCCAACAACCTCTGTGCACTTCTTGGGAGAGATACTGAGGAAAAAACGCCTCTCTAGAGAACCCACTTTTGCTCTCTCCCAGAAATTATTACCTCTATCTGAATCTGCTCTCAGAAGCCATTTTTGGACATCTGAAGCCTGCTTTGTTGAGTTCTTCTGTTTCTGTTCTTCATCTCCAGATTGCCCACAATGGAAATTTCTACTTATTTTGCTTCCTTGGCGATCTATGCCACTGAGGTATCCTTTCCTTTCCATTCCTCCTTTGTAACTGTGTTAAATTTGTTTTCTGTTAATGCTAACTGATTGTGTTTCTCATTTGCAGAACAAGCATCGTGTATCAGTGACTGCAAAGAACAGTAAGGAAAACCAGAAGAACATGTCCCCGATTGTGCAGGATTGTAACTCAAGGACAAGCCTGCAAAGGTCTGCAATGGAATTCGAGGGGCTACATTGTGAGTTTGATATTAGTGTTAGGTCGTATGGAAGTTCTTCCTTATGATTGCTTCTGTAAATTGTTGTCAATTACTAGCTACTGGAAACAGAATTTCATTTCTGATTTTTTGTTTTTTCTTTCTTTTTGTTTTCGTTAATTTAAGTGCCAAAGCTTCAACTGGTTTTCTGGTTGAAAATCTAGTGGCAGTCTGTAATGAGATGGTTCCAATTGAAATATAATACACAGAGGAGCTTGTGTTTAAAATAAATAGTTTGTTTTTGAAGCCTCTATCCTCAATGCAAAGGCAGAGATTACTATTGGTATTAATGGATTAAAATGGGAAGGGGTCTAATGGTTAAACCTTTAGACACCCCTCTGAAATCATCTAAGGCTGCGTTTTTAACATTGACTTGTTTAAATTTTAAAACCCGTTCAACCTGGATATTTAAACTGATGAATCATTCAAACCATTTTCTGATTGACGATTCAAACCATAATAAAAATATTGTTTAGTTATTTATTCTAAAAAAAAATGAAACTTAGTCAAAGACGGTGTTTGTATGAAAGGGTGAGAATTAAAGAGGTAGGGGGAGTAGGGAAAATGAAAATGGTCTTTATTATAATTAATCCATTCAACCTGGGTATAGGGGTCTGGAATGTTCGGTTGGGTGGAATCGGAATCTCATTCCCATTCTTGGTGGAATGGTATTCCCTATATCAGAGAATAGCCATTCCCTCCCCCTCCCCCTCCCCCTCCCCCTCTCTTGGAATAAAAATCCATTCCAGCCAAATCTGATTCTGATTCCGATTCCAGATTGAACCAAACAAGTGAATGGAATAGATTATTTCGATTCTAATTCTAAAGGATTCTGATTCTAATTCTGATTCCAATTCCAATTATAATTCACAACCGGAACCGGAATGGTCTATTCCCCTAATCTGTTTGATTCAGACAGGAATGAGAATGAAAATTGGAGCCAGCAAGAATGGGATTTCACTCCTAAGGGAGGGGCAGGGAATGGCCTCAAATGGGGGAACCTCAAATTGGGGAATGTCATTCCAGCAGAAATAGGAATGGGATTCTAATTCCGCCCAACCAAACAGTTGGAATCAAAATAGCTCATTCCGATTTCGATTCCAAACCCCTATTCCTGCAAACCAAACGGGGCTTAAATATTGCATATTGCATAAGGGTACTGAGTACTCATTTGAGAGGGCTGAAGTGCAATCACTGCCCACACAGATAGCCTGTAAGCTATGTTTGGTAAAAGAATGGCAGAGTATAAATCAACTGTTAGTCATTTGAAGGCCGTCAACTTCAACTCTTTGAATAGTTTATCCACAATGCTTCAAAACAGTTGAATTAATTTGACATTTTAACAGACTCTTCAGCTCTGACCTCCCAAACAGGCCCTAAAAGAAGAGATGGGAAGGGGGAAGTGATGCACTCACAAAATAGTAAACATCCGTTAATTTGAGCTGACGTTGTAAAAGTACATCGATAATCGATAATCATAAAGTGACCGTTGTTTTGGTGAAGAGTGTAAAATTTTACTTGGATAATGGATGTAAAACCTTACATATGATAGGTTTTACATGATGTAAAATTCCATTCTATCCAAACATACATAAAACTGAAACGGAATGGAGTTTTACGTTAATCATAATTACACTCTCCTTCTAAACGCAAATAAGATCGAACTGATATAAATTTTTACACTATTTTTAATTTATACCAATTCCAAACACAGCCTAAAAAACGAGTTTTCAATAGGTTTATCTGAATAAGAGAGATTTTGTCAGAAATAACCTAAACACTTTGGTAATATTAGGCTGTGTCTGGTTTAATCAAAAAAATAAGAAAAACAAAGAGTTGGAGAAAATTCCAAAGGAATTCTATGACACAGCTTTTAAGGATTTGAAAATCAGACATACT